CATTTAGGAGCTTTTTTCAATGCCTATAATTCAAATTTTTCAAAAAAAAAATCTAATATATCACCATCATCATGAAACAATGATGAATAATTGTTCAACATGTTCTAATGACATTGATAATATATATTTGAAACAAAAAAAAGAATAAATATTGACAATTAAAGAGCTTATGTTCATAAAAAATAACAGCAAAAATAGATAATTTGCTTGATTCCTATGTCCCTTTCTCCACTCATTCCATGTCTAAACCCCCTGGTACCCAAAATTGGTTTATATAGATTAAATCATAACATCTAACACTATCTAACCCCCCCCCCCAAAAAAAAAAAAAAAACTAGAAGGAGCAATCGTTTGGTGAATAAAGGTAAGGAGAATTACTTCTAAGGAGGAAATATTATCAGCAAAAAAGGGGACGAGTCGAAGACGACGACGACAATATACCTTGATCAAAATTGGAGGCGACAGCTACTCGGAGGTGGAGGCAGCGACTGGAGGCAACGATGAGGAGGTGACAGCGACGACGTGGAGATAGTTCTTAGGCAACGTAGAGGTTCGCGGAACGTGGAGGCTATAGCGCGCAACTAACTCAGAGGCGCTGACGACGGCGGAGGGGCGCGACGAGCCGAGTCGGAGGCGGAAACGACGAATCGGAGGCGGCGATTCAGAGTGGCGCCGACAGTCGTTAGGGTTGCAGCGGCGATGTGGAGGCGGCAGTCGGCGACTAACTCGGAGGCGCTGGAGACGTGAAGGCGGCTGCGGCGACGAGTTGAAGGCGACAGCAAGCGAATCAGATGTAGCGATTCGGCGTGGTGGCGACGACCGTTAGGGTTGAGGGGGAGAAAAGGGGATCTGCTTAGGTTTGGGGGGAAAAGAAGTCACGGGATCTCAAAACACCTTTTTACTGTTTTGAGAAAAACGTTTATTTTTTGGGCTTTGTAAAGGGGTAGCCAAAAAAACATCACATTCACCAAACGCGTTTCATTGTTTTTTTTGAAAAAAAACGAAAACGGTAAAAACGCCCTAGTTGCTAAACGCTCCCTAAAAAATTAGAAGTTAATTGGTAGAGAACACAAAATCCCTCAATATCTCACATAAATCTTTTATAATTTATTATATTACTTTTTTATCTTGATAGGGTCCACTACACCTTAAATCATTGTGTAATTGGTTCGTCTTTAATTCTTAGCTTTTCTCACCCCACCTCATCTTTTTCATTTTTTTCTTTTTAAATTTCCGGAATAAGAGTAAATGAGTAAAATAAATCAAATCAAATTGTCTTTTGTGAAACAAAACTCTTATCTATCTTCTGACGCAAGAGAAAACATATCCACTATATCCTAATGTGCCCTCTTTTTTTAATTTTCGGATAAAAAAGAATTATTGATTTGTTTTCTCTTTTGCTTATTTAATTTTAACAAAAAAGGTAAATTGGTGAGGACGAGAGTATTTTCGTAGTTTATTTCTTCGTCTATTTTTTGTCTTTTTATATTTTTGTTCCCAGATAAAAGAAACGATAAAAGAGGTTGGAGAACGAAGAAACAAAAAGAAGATAATTAAGTGTCTCAGAAAATAAAATAAAACCAAGTACTTGGAAGAGTGATTTAAAAATGAGAAAGATTTATAATAGATTCACGTCAAATACAAAGAATTTTATGTGCCCCACTAATTAATGTCTAATTTGTTAGCTACTAATCTTAAAGCATGACTATTAAGATACAAAAAAGAGGAAATTCCTCATAATAATCCATCTGTGTGTGTGTGCGCGTATGCATGTGTTGGGGGTGGGGTGGGAGTGGGTTCGGGGCCAGTTCAGACCTGAGCCCGAAAGGGCCTTAGCAGGCTAGGGCGAGGACTTTGTCTTCTCATCTGGGGTCATCTAGGGTTGGATCCAGCCCGACCCACTTCTTGCATAGGTTCAGGCTGGGTCCAACCCAACCCCTGATGGTTCAACCTGCGAGTCGATCCGCATTCTTTTTTTCTGTTCAATTATTTTTTAATTTTTTTAAATTTTTTGCTAGATTAGTATGTATAGTTTAAAGAGGAAAATCTGTATTTTATCTTTCTGCAAAGTCTAAACCCTATAACTTTACAATTAGCGATGGAGTTATCTCAATGGATAGAAGATTTATAATGATTTGAGCATTCTCAGTATATCAAAATGACTATAAATATTCATCAAAATACATAATAGAGGTTAGAAAATCTCTGCTACCAAAATTACAACCCAACTGCTTGGATGTTGCAATTTTCCATTGAGTTGCATCTCATATCATTTCAAAACATCTAAAAAATGTTAATGTTCTATCAACTAACTACATCAGTAAATTTCTATTTTTAAATATGTCAATTTGGAATGTGAGTTACATTAATAGTCTATTTTTTACGTAGTGTGAGTTGCTTATGAGATTATGACCTCAATAATACATCTATAGCATTCTGGAGGGGTTTGTTGAACATTGAACTATAGAAAGATAGAAAATCTACTTTAAAAAGTTTGAATTATTGTGCGTTAATATGCCCTATAGGTTGATTTTTTAATGGAATGGGCTCATTGTTAGGCGCTCATATCATGAACAATAAAAATAAATTGGGCTCGGTTGAGTTATCTTCAAACCTATAATTGGATTAGGCTAAAATTTTCTAAGAAAAAAATATAATCATCACCTAAGGCAGGTCGAACCAAGCTAGGCCAAGCTTGGTCGTGCTTAGTTCTTTATTCACAGGTTTAGAGTGAAACTCAGCATAGCCCATGACCAGGCATACCATGGGTCGGTTTAGGCTCGGCCCACTATGGATTAGGTCGGATCTTACCCCAAGGCGGGCTAGGCCGGTTCAGCCCGCGGTTCGAATTGGCCCACGTCCATGCTAACCCTTAGTATGTGTGGTGTGTGCACCGTATCTTGCCTTTCACAAATTTGTTATGTCTCGTGTATGTTTCCGCACTCGCACCTGAACTCGTATCCGTGCAACCTAGCTCCCATCAAAGACAATCATCTAACCCTTAGATGGGGACCTTTATATGATACCTTTCTGTAGTTAAAATTTTCGCTTCACTAAGGTAGATAAAGTCAATATGGCACGCATAATCTATACTACATATAAAAGAGGATTGGGGTGCTAAAACTTTTGATTACCCTTTTTACAAGTCTTAATTTTGATCATTCTAACTTTCCTTTAATTATTTTATTTTGTTAATTTATCTCAAAGTCTTAAATTAAATTAAATTAATTATAAATTATCATAATAATAAGATTTAATTAGTTTATGAGGCTCTTAAAGATTCCATAACTTATTTAATTAACTGCATATGTTATGGATCCAATCAACTATCACTCTTTGATTTTTCCTTTACATAACCTCTTTTTCATCTACACACTATAAATTACGACCATCTATTCCCTTCAACCCAACAAATCGCCTACTAAGACAAATTTCTACACCAACACAATGGTTTATGAAATATGTTATATGATGTATATTGCTTTCAACGTTTCTTGCCTTTTTGAGTTTCTTACCTCAATTAGGCATCTTTTATGTTCTTTCGTTAATAATTATGTTGAATCATCAAACTTTGTTTGTCTTCTTTTTGATTAATCACTAATAAGTTTTTTGTTCATTAACTTTAGGCTGCAAAGGTTAACTAATAAAACATATTAGCTATCTATCTTCTATTCATTGAGTAAATCAGAATACACAAACCTAAAAATGATAAATTTGATTGAATTGCAAAAAAGTTTTGATTTCTTATCTAAACTCTAGATTATTTTGTTCTTGATTGAGATTCTCTATTGGATTAAAATTGACTTATACAATTCCCATGAAGCGAGCTACTCAAATAATATTTTTATATCGGTTGTGATTCCATCTTGCTATTATATCTTTTGTAATTTTGCATCTAATAACAACTTTTGCTATTCCAACAAGATACTAGACATTTAATATTAATTTTTTATTTTATTGGCCTTTGTAATTTTCGTGCATGATATATTGAGAATCAATATACCATAAGTAAATATCATATCGTAAGTGCATATTTAAGAATCAATAGAATAATTTCTTAAACCAAGTACGTCACATGCAACGCACGTATGGCAGGGTGAAAGATTAAACTTTGATGGGACATCAAAACGTGTCTAACACAACCATCAGCAAAAGAAAAGCTTAATCATAGAACCTAAGGTCCTAAAATGAGCTATTTTGAGCAAGGGCAACAAGGAAGTTTCACTCTGCAAGTATTCAGACGAAATTTTATCAACTTTACTTACAGTAAGGAAATTCAATTAAAACAGAAAATAAAGCAGACATACAGGAATAGTACAAATTCAAGAAAGAAAATCAACTCAAACAAAGCTCAAGCTTTTTATAGATTTTTTGGAATTCATTGTCTAAGCCTAATGATGAAGTTGACTCAAACTTTAATTGAAATGAGAACCTGTGAATGTTTTTCGTCCCATGCAAATAAGCCAGCCCCTTGAGTATATGCCGAGTGAAATTACGAACTACTGATTCTGTCATAGCTCCGTAATGGTCACGAACATATTTGTTAATTGATCCGGGAAAAACATACTCAAGATATATGTAAAACCGATCTTCAGTCTGCATACAAAAATGAACTGCATTTCAGCAACTTACATTTAGCCTGCAAAATTAAAGTATCATACTCAATAAGTGGGACTGCTCACCATTTCACTCCCATAATACTGCACGATATTTGGGTGCTTTAATTGACTAAGGACTTTTATTTCCTGATAGAAGGAAATAATGTAACTGAGAGCATTAGACAATATAAATAACTAAAGCAAAGAAAAGAAGTATAGATTCAAACTTAAGAGACAATGGGTCAAAAGAAATTAATAACTCCCAGTACAATCATATGATTTTATAAGTCACTAAAGCATGAGCACAAGTCAGATAATGTCTCCATGAAGTAGTAATAACTAAACAGTTAAGAATGACAAATTCTCATGGTAAGATAGTTGTAGAGATAATTGTCAACCAATAAAGGAGATAACCCATAATAGCATTGAATGGAAGAATAGGATTCATGGAGCCGTCCCCAAAAACTTTGGGAAATAGGCTTTCTTGTTGTTTTATAGATACTTGTATGAACAAATGCAAATGTGATTGATCATCATATCACACAAAATGAATGCATACATAATGTTTATTCAAGAAGTAAGCTTTGTGCAGAACAGAAGAAGTTCAAGTGAACATATCAGAATGCCAAAGAATCTCTACTTATGCTCTTCATCTCTAAAGTCCACACAGGTAACTCCTTCATTGACATTGAAGGTCTGTCGGGTGAAGTGCAACCTATGTTGCACAGAAACTAGTACGGGTACCAGTAGGGAACACAGCAAATTTGTAAAAGGTAGGGTCAGGGACACTGTTATATACATGTTGAAATTAATAATTTACATGAGACCAACATTGTTTTTTCATTCACATGTTATGAGAATTAGAATTCCTATAAAATATTTATGTTATATTGCTTTATGTTTCTTCTATGATATGAGCTGCGGCTATCAACTATAAGGATTGTAAATTCAGAAGGATGAGGCATCACGCACAAAAGAGTATGTTGCTTGAATTACAAGAAGACACGATACAAGAAACTTGTGGGGCAATTTTATTTCCCAGCTTACTAAATGTACATAAGAATAGGCAACTTAGAATCAAACAAATAAACTTCTTCCCTCGTTAAAAAAAAATCTTAGAAGAGTATGAGCTAGGTATGGAGGCCAACCTGTTCCAACTGTTTCAAACATTCAGCAGATTTCGGATCATCAGGAATTAAATTTACTTCTTTCATTGCACATAAGGCTCCAGTGTGTCTGTAAGAGGATATCGTGCTTGAGTTCAAATTAGCAGAAGGAAGTAACATTACTGAATCACTTAAAGAGAAAGCAGCTACCTGTGTGTTGCCATGTAGACATTTCCAAATGTGCCACTTCCAATGAGTTTTTGCTTTTGCCATGGAGATGACTCAGGTTTTGATGTATTAGAATGAGCCAAAGGAGGTTGTGATGGAACAGAAGCTCCTGGTGGTAGAGGTAATGGGTGGACATTTGCATTGCTATTATTCTCATGCCATGGAACTGAGTTATCAGGGTACTTTGGATGCATTGGCGATGAAGGAGCGCTAGGATTTCGTGACCTTACAACAGGACTTTTTGAAGTGGGACTATATAATGACAAACGGTCGGGACTAATTTTGTCGGGTGAAGTTTGATTTGAGAAACCTGGCATTGAATCTTTCGAAACTATGTCTGAAGGAGACCACATTCCTTGAGGGAAGTTGTAAGACGGGCCATACTCTACATTACTCATCCTTCTAGGACTAAGAGCTGGACTTGAAAATCCACTGGCTGGAGCACTTTTAGCAGGTATGTTCAGCCTGAAGGTTTCAGTTTCAGCAGAATTTGGATCTTGGAGAGCCTTCTTATAATAACTAAACATTGATTTTCCCTTTGGTGCATCAACATGCTCCGTACTTTTACGAGCAACCTGATAGGTTAACCTACTGCAGTAGAAAAAGGAACAACAACTGACTATGAAGAGTCTGAAATATAAGAATACTTCAACTAACTATGACTAAATGCCCCGGGAGAACAGTTATCACAACAAAAATGCTCTCTCATTTTAGGTCTAAAATAAAAAACCAAAAAAAGTTAAACATATTGGTTATTGTCATGGAAGGTAACAATTGTATCCTTCTAGAAAGTGTCCTCCAATGAGCTTACAAACATAAAAGAGTCCGAAATATAAGATCTCAAAGAATTTCCAGAATAAGCACAAAGCAACACTGGAGGTTTTTATACAATGAGCTATTCAACAGGTTGTGTAAGTCCTTGTTAAAACATGAATTCCAGTTGCACGATCAAGAAAAACAAAGACATATGAAGTCGATTCTATAGCCTCTGTAGACCCATCGTCGAATCTTTATTGACATCCACCAGATTTTCTATTTAATTAATCAAGAAACACAAACCCAAATACGCAGTTAAGATAGGGGAACAAGTGAATAAAAGGTAAGCAAAAGAGTACAGAGAGAATAGCCAAAACTCTAAAGATGAATGATTGCTGCCTATGTAGTTAACTAGTCAACTGCGGAAATAATGCAGAAGCTAAGTAATGAAAGAAAATTATGACAGGGGCATGCTTATTCATTCATTTTGAGACAGAAGCTATCAAATATTTCCTTGCATTTCAAATTCGGTTATACAATATACAAGGGCCTTAACAACCACGGATATTCTCATTCTGAAAGATAATCATAACAGACACGCTTAAACAAAAAGAGTACAGAAAGAATAGCCAAAACTCTAAACATGGATGATTGCTGCCTATTGTAGTTAAATAGCTACTACAGAAACCTGCAGAAGCTAAATTATGACAGGGACATGCTTATGCATTTTGAGACAGAAGCTATCAAACCTTTTTTTTTTTTGCGTTTCTTATTTGATTTTACAATCTACAGTGGCCTTAACAGCTACATTGATTCTCATGGAAGAAGAAAGTCATCAATAGACCCCTTATTGGCCTCTCTGGTAACCTCAACTTACAATCAATAAATTCAGACCTTAAACCATGAAATAAGAAAGGAATATGATAGTAGAAATGCTTAATTCCATGAAATAAGAAAGGAATATGATAATAGAAATGCTTAATACAGACTGCTTTAGTTCATAAGTCGAAGCCTGCCAAAGAAAAACTCACTAACTAGTGTGGTAGGGGGGTCCGATCTCACAAGGAGAAGAGCACGCTAGATTATGCTCCAAAGAATAAGGTGTGGTAGATGTGTGATGCGGAGATAATTGCCAAAAGAAAGGGGAAAAAAGGTCGATGCTAAAGATGCAAATGGCAGAAGAACAATGGATGGAGACAAAAAAGTTTAAGAACTGAGAAATAACCTGCAATAAGGAATTACTCGCACCAAAAGAAATCAACTCCCAAGAGGCAGGCAAGTCCTTAGATGATCACTATAACCCGTGAGAAAATCTTTATGCTTTTGACAAAGGAGTGAAGGACACCCTAACAGTCCTGTCAAATCAATTAGGATCCATCAGGTAAAAGGCTCCGCATTCTGTTACAGTTGCATGATAGATGGTCTACTTGTGTATCGGGTCTGAGCCACTATTCTCATGTTATTATTAGTTCATTTGTTCTAGTTATGGTTAAATTGTAATTCTTTTATTAACATATGCACATTGCACAGTAATATAGGTAAGGAGTCCTTTTCATGTTAAGAATAACATTCTACCTCCTCATCCTCATTGCATGTTATCTCGTTGGAATATGTCCTATGGATGAAACTTTTGTATACTAGACACTGTAGTATGAACACCAACTCTAGAAACTGACAACTAAGCAGATAAAATGGGTGCGAAATGTCCATGGCGCAAGGATTCGACATCCTCCCATCTTCACACCCCTTGTTAACCCCTCACTCCCCCTCCCCCTCCTCCTTTCCCCCAAACTAGCGGAACATCTCAGTCTGTATTGATGTAGCTAAACTCAAGTTCTTAATGAGCACATGAGTTGAATTCTTTACCAGTTGCATGCTAGAGGGTCTAAAGTTGCATGAAGTTTGAACTACCTCGTGCTATCAAAAGTTGATCTATTCTAGTTCTAGATTGCACTTCCTTTATTAATATAAACACATTGTACAGTAACTTAGGTAAGCACTGCAGTCACCCTTTTGACACTAAGAATAACTGAATAACATTCTGCCTCCTCATGCCTGCCTGATTGCAAGTTAGCTCATCAAATATGTCCTATGTAAGAAACTTCTGTATGCTAGATAGTATGAACTTTTGTAAGATGCACACCTTCGATAACCTCTTGACATCCCCGTGAAGATCCCTCCCCCA